TCTCTCTAACATACATCCCTTAACAAGCCTCCCCTCACACAGCAACAAAATGGAATTACTTTCCTTCAGATACAAACACCAAGACTGCAGGGATGGCTCCTCTTCCATTTTCCAGCAGATTCTGGTATCTAGGCATTCTATACCTACACGGACACTAGTTAAACACTCTGAAAAAACTAGTTAGGCTGATGTGGATCTTTTAGCCCCTAAGGGAAACTAAATAGAGGTCCTATGAAGGAGAAAAAACTGTGTAGCGCATCCAACCTACTGCTTTGTGTGCACCCATCTCACATATATTAAAAATACCAATGCAGTGGGCTTCTGGTGGGCCTACCTGTTACCTAAATGATGACCAAAATGAACCTATCACATCCTTTCATATACTTGGGCCACCAATGGTGGTTACAGTACCACAAATGGAATTAACTTCTCTTAGCCTTTTTCTAATCCCACTATCTTTTTCATGGCACTCGACTCTTAAATCCTAAAGAACAGAGAGATGAAATCAATCCTCAGGGCAGAATTACATTTAGCAGAGGAGTCCTACTCAAAAATATTTCTAGTTGAAGCTGAGTGTGGTGGTGTGTGCCTATAATCCCAGTACTCTGGGAGGCTGAGGCAGGAGGATCACAAATTGGAGCTCAGCCTGGGCAACTTGGTGGGGCTCTGTCTCCAAATAACAAATTTTTAAAAAGGGCTGGATTCAATCCCCAGTATTTCAAAAAGAAAAGAAAATTTCTAGTTGATCCTGTTAGAAAGACCATACGGAGATGTGGATTCTTAACATACACAAGAAGAACAAGTAAGGCTTCTGGGTCAAAGAACAATTCTAATGAACAAAATGCAAAGTAATGCATTAAATTAAATCACGATAGAAGCAAAATTCCTGGATATATTTGAGAGCTTTTTTTTCTCCTTCTGTTTTCAGTCCTTGCTATCAATTTAAAAGGCAGTTCTCAGGTGGCATAAAATTATTTCACTTGTACCCCACTTCCACTGAAACAAATGTCTTTTACATATCTGTTGGAGTTATTCAACTCCATACCTTAAAACCACAGACTCTGGGGTTAAAAGGCAATTTTTTGCAGAGAAATGAACTTTAAAAATACATATAAAACAGACTTTAGGGTTTGGATTTTACTTAATCCTCTTAAGAGGGACTAGATTGGGGCTCATCAAAAATTTTATGTTATAAATTTATGTATTATAAATTTCACAATAAGATCTAATCCATGGATTAACATCAGACTTAATGAGCTTACAGATGTAATTCTCCCATATTCATATTATAATGGAACAATATACACTTTTAAAAGTCTATTTTGCTTTCCTAAATAACATAAAAATATTTTTAAAGTGCATGAATCAATTCATTAAGAAAAAATATTCTAATTTCAAGTTGCTATCTACTTCTGTAATAAAGCTACATGTTATCTAAGGACTGAGTTTGAATTTCAGAGTCCTGAGGATGTGTCACAAAGCAACACAGATTAAAATGAAAGTCTCCAGAGCAACTTCTCAAGTACCTTCATACTGACATGGCAGTTAGAAAGGAAACAGTGGCAGTCATAGCCTGAGGAAGGAGAAATCTGTGTAAGTTTTGAAGGAGAGAGACCAAGACCAATGACATCTCAAGTAACCCGCACTGATGAAACAGGCCTGCTAAAAAACCAGGCTCTCTGATATAGAAGACTTGATATAAGAAACATTCTCTAACTGGACACTTGTCAAAAGAAATGTGTTGAAGTCATCCTTAAAAATCAGCAGCCAAATATGACAGTGCACACCTATAATCACAGCATTAAGTGACTTCAAAGCTAGCTAGCCTCTCTACATAGTGAGACCTTGTCTCAAAAAAAATAAACCAAAAAAAAAAAAAATACACAAATTAGCAGTTGGGCCAGATGTGGTGGCACACTCCTGTAACCCCAGCACTCAGGAGGCTGAGGCAAGAGGACCACTGCAAATTTGAGGCCAGCCTGGGCTATGGAGTGAGTTTAAGGCCAGCCTGAGTTACACAGTGAGACTGTCTCCAAACAAAAAAAGAAAAAAAGTTAGCAGTTGGTAATTTTAAATTCAGTATGACATATGTATGTGTGTTTATACTTTTTTGTTTGTTAGAAATTTTCACAATAAAATTCTGGAAAAAATAACTCTTTAAATACGTCTTCTTGGGCTGGGAATTTAGCTCAGCAGCAAAAGCACCTGCCTGGCAAGCACAAGGTCTTGAGTTCAATCCCTGGTACCAGAAGAAAAGACAAAAAAACAAGCAAAGAAACAAATAAATATGTCTTCTTAGTCAGGCATGGTGGCTCATGCCTGTAATATCAGCACTCAAGGGGCTGAGGCAGGAGGGTTGCTGCAAGTGTGAGGCCAGCTTGGGCTACATAGTGAGTTCAAGGCTGGCCTGAACTACATAGCGAGACCCTGTCTCAAGAAAAAAGAAAAAGGTCTTCTTTTCTAAAAGTTTTACCTCTCAACAAAATAGCAAAACTAAATAAACTAATGAAATTTAAGAACCCAGCCACTCTGTGTAGAGAATTCCAGAATTTCTTCTAACTGTTAGAAGAAATTGCTTCTAACAGAAGAAATTTGTCTCTTGGGAGCAAAGCCCCAAGTAGGATAAGGTGCAATTTCTTCTAACTGTTTCTTAGTATGTATTTGTGCTCTAAAGGACAGGGTAAGCATGAAGGCAAATGATTTTTCATTGTTTGGTTCTATAAACTCGAACAGGAAAGGACTGAGGAAGCGACTACCTCTAGAATTTGCTGGGCCATAAGTTCTCAGGAATTACCTGCGCTTCAGTAAATAATATTTTTTTCCTAAAGTTCAATTATTTTAGAAATTTAGTATGAGAAAGTGAATCCATTAGACAGTGAAAATACCTTCCTCTAGCTATTTTGTGCTAGTGGAACAAAGAAACCCCACCAAGGAAAAAAACCAGAGTGTAATGTAACAAAGCCCAGGACTTCAGAAGGGACCAGATGGTAAGAGGTACAGGAAAGTGATAAGAACAAGTCCTCGGCTTCCCAGATGCAACAAAACTAGGATTTGAAAGAAAATGAGCAAAGATAATCCCACGGCAAAAGTAAAAATTAGTATGTGTTATGCTTGGGAGCTTACTCTGTATATGACCTGATAGCTCCACTTTGAAACAAAGTCAGAAGTTGATAATACACAGGAAAAATAAGCGTGGCTTTCACTGACTAGAAAACAGCTCAGTAGAAAAATTATTTTACAAAGATTATATTCAATTAGCTAAGGCATGATTCAACTTCAGTGATAAAAAAGAGTGGTCACCCAGCTCTCTGACAGGACGATGCACAGCAAGTTTGCTTTTCACTGCCCAAACAGTCACTAAAATAATGCATCACAATGTATATATAATTTGGCCAGTGTAATCTTCTACACAATACACCTATGATGATAGAATAATGGAAGTATGATGCTGTTGAGAGAATGGGAATGTTACGGCAATCCACAACACCTTATCCTACTTGGGGCTTTGCTCCCAAGGGACAGAGGGGCAGGATGTATTGCCCTTCGTTCCTGACAGTATGCTACCATAGAACTACTGAGGGAAGCCCTGCTCTTCCAGTGACTGCTTCTGTAGAAGCAGGTGAGGCACCCACATAAGGATGGCATGAGCTGAAGGAAACAGTATGAAGCAGAGGACTATGAAATCCTGGAATCACAGTGATTAACTAGTCACTGATTGGCCCGTCAGTTCCTCTTTACTAAAATTCCAGCAAATAGGCAGATTCCCTCACAACTTAGAATTCCTCACAGGGGGCACTGGGCTGTACCTAAATATGGGGTAGGTTAGAGTCACCCATGGCCAAAGGGACAGACTCCTCCCCAAGTAACACAGGACTGACCTGCAGGAATGAACTTAATCACTCCCAAATTCTTTTATAATAATCATTTTAACTCTGTGGCTCAGAGCAGACGGGAAGCCTTCTGAGAAACAGATGGAAATGGTTTCAAAAGCAAAATGAAACATGCTAAAATAAATAAAGTAATAAATAAATCTAATCATTCAGAGTTGGAAGGGAGTAACAGACTTAACACAGCAATAAGATCTGGAGGTACAGTCGACTGCTGAGGGCCTCACCTCATCTGGTGCTCCTTCTCCACCTGAGGCCCTGGCACCTGGTGCCTGGCCACGCCCCCGCACTTCTGCGCCTCAAGGTGAACAGAGTAAGAAAGGCTGTCACCAGGGAAACGCAAGCTTTGGTCAGGCAAAGAACACATACAATCAGCAGTAACAGTGAGGTTTCATTATCACCTAAGGGACTTTAAATAACAAAAGCTTTAAACCCACAATACAAAAAACCTAAGTCCAGAAACTTTGGAAACCTGACTGGGTTGCACTGCATTTGATTCCAAAGTAAAATTTCTAGATAACTCTCCTGCCATAAATACAGGAGGAAAAAAATAGGGAATCTGGAGTGTTTTTCTAACCTTCTCTCTCAGATGGTATCATTCCTTCCTCAATTATATATATTTTTAAAACTAAGTAACACTTTCAAAGGTGTAGGTTCTGAGATCAATTCAGTACCTAATTTCCACCCTTTCTGCATTCAATTTCTGGTACCCTTGGTAAAGGAAACTAGTTCTTGAAACAAGTGATGGAGGCCAATTTTCTTCCCAGAAGATCTTAGGTTACACTGATCATCACTTTAGATTGCATGAAAGTTCTTGCTATATGGCAAAAACACAGATTTAGGAAAGAGGAAAGAAGAGGAGTCTAACTACCAAGAATAATAACATCCCTCCAAGGCAGTGAGGTCTCCCGGCCTGTTTCAGAGACCAGGAATACCCAGCAGGCAGGAATATGGCAGTGGTGAGAAGCTGGACAGAGTTTTCTCTATCCAAGACATTGGGCTTCATTATGGACAATGTGCTTTTCCCCCTTCTGGCACCTCAAAATTGAGGAGGGCAGGCGCCACCAAATGCACTGGCATTTTGGGAGCAAGCAGCAATCTGAATGACAAGCCTTACACCAACAGAAATCTATTTTTAAAAGATAATATTCTGTTTCCTTTTAGGGTTTTGCCTGGTAGGTGCCTTCAGAGAGGGATTTTGCTGGAATCTGAAGCAACAAGAGTGTGACTTAGGGACCACAGAACGGGGCACCACACCACCAACTGCAGAAGCCAAGAAGGGGAAAAGGCTATGTGGGGCCAACAGTCAGGCATGCCAGGCAGCACATGAGGCCCAGGAGCCTCACACAAACTTTCAGCTCTTGCATATCCAAAACAAGAGGCACCAGCTTGCAGCCTGCTTCAGCCAGCAACTATGGCCTGCCCCCATCCCAGCATCCTTCAGCTAGTGTAGTAGATGTGGAAGTAGAGAGTCTTGTTGCGTAGCAGGGAGTAGGAGTTGTCAAACTTGAGCAGGTAGATGCCCTCCCCAGGGTAGTCATGGCTGCCAGCCTGCACATCTCGGTGGCTGTCCCGCCGGTACACAGGCATGACCTCCCCATAGCGACCCCGCAGGGAGCTCCTGGAACCTCTCTCCACGTCTCCCACAGGGACGGGTTCTGTAAGAGCAAAACAGCAGAGGATCTGGATGTGAGTTCAGACACTGAATACGTCCTACCTGAAAGTTAGAGGGTGGGCTAGGGCACTCTGTGACTAATGCCTGGGGGATGCTATTTGCCTGAGATGGGTATTTCAAATTGTCTGTGAATCTTTTTGGTCATTACAGTGACTACTGAATGATACTGACATTTAGTACCTCAGGGTCTAGGAACGCTAAAATCAGGATAGTACCTGTGCAACAAAGTGGTGCCCATCCAAATGCCAGTGATGCCTCCCCTGAGAAATAATAACAGCTTGATAAAGTCTGTGTGCCTGGATGTTTCTGAGGCGGGGAAAGGCATTTAGAGGGGAAGATCTGAAAATTCGTTCATTTAGTAAGTGAAAGGACTATCTAACAGAACTAAGAAATGCAGATAAACACATTACACAGAATGACCCTATAACTTCCACCTAAAAAGCAGTAAGATATAAGGTCTTCCTCTTCCATGAATACCTACGGATTTCCTTACAGACCTAAAGGAGCAAGGTAAAGGAATAAGGCTAAAGTTTAGAAACTACTCCTAGATTATCCTCCCAAAATGTCTCAGGACTATTCAGAGTAGACATTACAAATAAAAACTAGAATGTCACAGAGACCTTTTAAAACTGCCTTGGCCATGAAGCGGAGAATAAGCCAGTAGTCAATCAGCTATGACAGTTTGGAAGGGAGAAAACATTGGTACATTTAGCAAATTATAATCATTCAGTTTGGTTCCAGGCTCAAAAGAAATATGCCCAAATCAGGAGAGAAAGAGAAATGTAATATAATCTCAGTTGTTGTTTTTTTTTTTTTTTTTGAGAGGGTCTTGCTATGTAGTCCAAGCTGGCCTTGAACTCACTATGTAGCCCAAGTTGGCCTCAAATACACGGCAATCCTCCTGCCTCAGCCTCCAGACTACACTACCAAACCTGCCTCAGTTTTATCCTGACTCCCCCCCTCCGCCCCCCCTCCCCACCTCACAGAGCAATTCAGGTAACAACTAGGTACTGAATAAAAGGAAAGAAAGCTTTCAAGTAAGGCATCAATACCAACCCCACCACTGGAATGTTCTCTGAGGGTCTGACTTTGGCCTACCACTCAACTTTAGCTTGCTATAGTGGATCCCTCACCTGTAGCATTTCTGGATTTTTCTTGCCTGCATTCTAAGGAAGAGACTGCTACTACAACAGAAGTGGTCACTAGGAATTAGGCTGAGCCAGAGAGAAAACTGCAAATTGCTAAAATTTAATTTACCTTCAATATTCTCCTCATCATCCTCTTCTTCCTCCTCATCCTCGCTGGAGTCACTGACCTGCACAGTTATGTCAGTGCTTGTTACAGGTGTCCAGTCAAAATAAACTCCAAAGCCAATGTCATAGTTATCAGTCGCAAACTCCCAGCAGACACGCTTCCCCTCTGGATGGGTAGGTACCCGGATGGTCACCACCTCACCCCGCTTCACCACCAGACGGCTATTCTTCTCTTTGCCCAGCTTGCTTTTGAATTCCTTCACCTTGGCAAAGGTCCAGATGCACGGAGGAGCCATCAGAGGTGGGGAGACTGAAAGGACAGGCAGATTACTGGGAAACCTGTACCACACCTGGCATTCTGCTTAGAGATTAATACAGTTTAGGACATTTTGTTGGTTTCTCTCACTTCCTTCTATGAGTCATTTTCTTTCCTTCCACTGCCTACGTTCTTTACACAGCTACTGAAAACAAACAAAAACCTTCTATATTTCCGAAAGTCTCACCTTTCCTGTGGTCCCCCAGAAGATCTGCACATTCCAAATCCGATGAAAGAATATCTATCGTTCCTGTATGCTCAGACTGGATCATAACGATGTCTCCAGATCTTTTCGGAAGTCGGTACTTGGCCATCTGCATAACAGAACTCTGATTAAAAGATGTATTAAGAGTGGCAGATTCCAGTTAACTTCTTTCCAAACAAAGCCCAACCCACCTGGCCATCCACTCCCTCAACTCAGAGCTTAATGTGCTATTCAACATTTCTTCTCTTTTATCCGGCTACAAATTGCTAATAAATTTTGTACATTTAACATCACCGAAATGTTCCCTAGCTTAAAGATTCTTTCTTATTCTTTTTACCATTTGCAACTTTTGCTCCAGACTCTGTAAAATCCTTCACAAGTATCCTCTTAGCTTGTTACTGACTTCTGCCTCACCAGGATTTCTGGGCCATGCCTTGGTCTCACGTCAGCTTGCACAGGACCACCGTGTGGTTTCTCTCACTTCAGCTCCCACACCTAGGGTTTAGATCAACTCCCATTCTGCCACACATTCTCCTTCTACATCAGGTATGACTTCCCACTCCAAGGTTACTTCTACATCACTGTGAGTCAATTCCCCAAGCACTATAGTCCCTGTCTCTGTCTGTCTGTCTGTCTATCTGTCTTTCTCTCTGTCTCTGTCTCAGTCTCTCCCTCTCCCCAGGGTACTAGGGATTTAACCCAGGGTCTTTTCACTGAACTTTTACTTTTCTTTTTGAGACAGGGCCTCACTAAGTTGCCCAGGCTGGCCTCAAGCTTGTGCTCCTTCTCCTGTCTCCACCTCCCGGAGTGCTGGGGTTACAAGTACGTGCCGCCATGCCTAGTCTCTCTTTTTCCTTCCACTCTTCCCTTTCTCTTTACCTCTCTTTCATCCACACCTCAGAGAACATGCTGTCTTGCCCTCTATATCACTAACACTGTTCTATAAATAATTACAATTTCATCTTAGATCACCTCTAGGTTTGTATTTGAATAGTACATTTGTTGCCAGATATCCAACTTGCATGGAAGAATACAAAAGGCACTCGATACTCATAGCCCTTGCTTACCATGTCGAAGCCTGAAATCTCTGTAGTGGGTTTTCTTTCAAATCACAGATTATGCCCTTGTTTCATACTATTATGCCTCTAGTTCCTGCCTCTTCTCTTGCTGGTATAAATGCAACAAAAAAATCTATATCCACTGCCCACAGGGGACAGCATGTCAGTGAGTCAGTAATCCAGTTAAGAGGCTGGAATTGAATTTGTGAGAAATAAATGAATCAAGTTTGTGACCTTCCCAGGTATGCTCTCCCAGTACTTGTTTCGGGAGAGCAAGCCCTCCAGCTCTCACCTAAATGAAGCAAATCGGATTTTGGCTAGTATGCTTCAAGAAGTTCTTACTTTTCCAAAACGCTAAACAATGGATTTAGTTTGCAATTTATTTAGCTGCACAGCCACAATAGTCAAGAACAGCTGTTAGTCTGAGTTTCCTTATTTTTTTCTGAGTTTTATTTTTTAATCAGAGTTTACTGGTACATAGCAATCACATCCATCATAGCGAATCTGTCCCTGTACATGACATAACTTGTTTCTTTTTCCCCTTCCCCTATGCTGTCTTCAATCCCTCCTCCCTAACCCACTTACAAAAGGTCTGTTTCCATGTTTTCTTTCTTTTCTCATTTTTTTTTACTTATCCCTTCTTTCCTTTTCTCCTCCCTACTCCCTTGTTCAACGGGACCACGATGGTATCCATCTTACAAGGTTGTTCTGAGGAATAAACAGTGTTGTAGATAAAAATCTTTGTCAAGTATAAAGCACTATGCAAATGTTATCATGCTTGGTCTTTTTTATTGATACAAATACCAATTTGATTCTAATACCTATGCTAAGATAATACAAGTAATCCCTACCTCCCATACCTTACAGCAATAGGACCACTACTTATTAATACCAGTTCTATACAATCTTCTACCATAAATACTAAATAGATCTCCCATAAGAAAGTAAGATTAAAACACAGGTAATGACTTAAGGCTCATCAAACCAAGAGGATTTTTTTTGATGTTTTGTGTTTTTTGGGTTTTGTTTTTTTGGAGACAGGGTCTTGCTATGTAGTCTAGCAATCTGAACTCACTATGTTGCCAAAGCTGGCTTCAAACTTTTGGCAACCCTCCTGCCTCGGCCTCATGAGTGCTGGGATTACAGGGTGCACCATCACGCCCAACACACCAAGAGGATTTCACTGAATATCCCTTCTAATACTTCACTGTTTGAGCAAGTGGCTGCAGGTTGCTAATCCAATAATAGGCCCTGTGGGAGATACAGATAATCATTCTTCAAGTAATTAAAAATGAGATGGCCCAAAGGAACAATAAGAGAACTCTGGGAACCACCCCCAGCAGTGGTTTTAATTCTAACCCATCCATTATATATCCAAATTCTGGTACCATGAACTCCTCCTCTTATATGAGAAAGACAGAATATACTCCCTACCTCACTGAGGACTTGAGCCTGGTCTGCAGGCAGTAAATCCTGTTCCACCAAAGCCTGATTCTCCAAGGCACTGGCTGATTTCTGCAGATTTTCCGTGGCATCCTTACTCCCTGGAGATACCATCTGTGGCCTCTCAGAGGAAGAGAGCATGTCAATTTAAGGGTTATTGGAAATAAAACAATGTTCAAAGGACACCCCACCCCGACTCTGCCTTCCTCTGCACTTAGGTCTACATCACCTCAGCTGACAACTGCCAAAGACAGAACTGGCCCACAGGAAAGCAGTGACAGTGTAAGGACACATGGACTGACAAAGCCAGGTCTCAGGCTGTGGAAACCATGGTAAACACACACACAGTTCAGTCATCTGAGATGGACTCCAGGTCTGGTTTTCTTTGTTGTTATTCCTTTCATTTAATTTTAACAGACAAATAAAAACTGTACATATTTATGGTGTATAATATGATGTCTCAATATATGTAAACATTGTGGAATGATCAAATGAGACCCCCAGGGCACGGGGAGCCACGCGGCCGCGAGCGCTGTTGCGCACCGGCCCCACTGCTCAACTGAGAACTATCATGACACAGAGAAACAATGACACAATTGGCCCACCATGCACCGGCTGCAGATGCCCACCTATGGACGTGTGTGAATCATTCAAACATGGAAAAACCCCTGGGAATACATGCTATACAACGGGCCACTCTTGCTCCTGCCATTGAGAACCAGAAAGGTCTAGAGTCAGCAGAGGAGCAGCTGCTGAACAAGGACTCGGAGAACATGAGAGTGCAGACTAAGCCCGAGGGGTCAGAGGTCCTGTGGACTGGGGTCATGAGAGCCGCTCGGAAGCTGTAAACCAGGAGGACCTTGCACAATACCTGCAGAGACTCCCTGGAAGCCATTCTTCCCCTGACAGTACAGGCTGTGGTGGAGCTCCAGAGAGGTCTGCAGCAAGATTCCTGCTGCCTATGCTGACGGTTGGGGAGAGGACACTAACTGGTTGTGGGGTCCCAATGCAATAGGAGGCTGGAGAGAAAACGCTACAAAAATGGCTTTGGCCCCAGACGGCTCACTTGATTTTTGACAACCCTTAGGCTGTAACTACTTGTTAGATACTTCTTGGGTATCTCTGTCTTCCTGAGAAACCACTTCTAAGATACCAACATGTATTACAGCAGTCATTGATATTTTCCTACTAATCTATCCATAACTCTGTAATGTCTGTATTGTTCCTATCCTATTTCATAAATGGATGCATGTTTATTATTATGTGTTTCCTACAGCAACCATTGAGAATAGTTAATGATTATTCAATAGATCATTCATGTATAGCTCTATTTATTTTCTTTTGAAGATAACTAAGTAGAGTACAACAACTATTGATAATCTCCTACCTCTTTTGTCTGTAACTCACTATTATTTGTCTATTTGTTTTCCTGAGAAACTATCCTGTAGATAACAATATGTAAAACACTAACCATTGATACTTTCCTACCACTTTGTCTGTAATTTGGTAAGCCCCCCCACCATTATTGTTATCCTTCTTTTACTATTAAAAAAAAAAAAAAGAAAGAAAGTAAGGCTTGCTTGGGTAATACAATGTAAGCTGCAAGTTGTTGTAAGCCTACCTATTTTCATGGTGTTAAACTCCAAAATCCCAGTCCATTTTGGTTTTGTTTTGTTTTGTTTTGTTTTGTAGTACTGGGGATCGAACCCAGGGCCTTGTGCATGCAAAGCAAGAGCTCTACCACTGAGCTACATCCCCAGCACCCATTTCTGTATCTTGACACTGTTTATTATCTGTCTCCTTCAGTATGAGCCAGGCTTGCTGCCAGAGACTTGGTGCTACTCCCTTTGCACGCACAGCATCTAGAATCATGTCTGAGCATGGAACTGTCAGGCCTTTTGCACTGTGACTTCATCTCCTAGAATCCCTGCTTTGCTCAGGTCACCCCAGTGACAAGGGCCTCCTGAATCTCTGATAGTTCTCAAATGCACCAAGCAATCTTCCACTTTAGTCTTTGCACTTGCTGTAGCCTCTGCTTAGAGCATTCTTCCTCTATAGTTTTTTTCCCTCTGCTTTCTGCTAAATTATCACTTTCTGAGAGGATTCTGAGATGTCCATCTATAAACTCACTCGCTTCTCCCTGCTCTATCACTCTCTGTTTGCTTGTTTGTTGTTTTGAGACAGGGTCTCACTATATAGCCCAGGCTGACCTTGAATTTGTGATCCTCCTCCCAAGTGCTGGGACTACAGGTGTGTGCCACCACATCCAGCTCCCATCACTCTTCATGCCCTTACCCTTTTTTAAAATTGTAGTTATTACTACATCCCATAACATGTACCATATTCTGTAGATTACAAGGTGCACAGTGCTTTTAGAGTTTAACACAACTGAAATACAGGATATCTTAAAAACTGATGTCATAAAACTGCCGTGGGCCCGGACTGACATAGTCCTCCCACAGGAGATCTCCATGTGCTTCTGCCGCTGTTTATAAATACTCCCAACCTTAGAGGACTTGAAACTAAGTTCTTTGTTGAAGAGTTTTGTTTAGGTCCTGATGACTACAGGCTTCTGGTTCATATTCTCAGGGGAGGTATTATTTTCCTCCCCTTACACAGTGCCAAGCTTGAGACATTCATGTTTCTTTGCTATCCTCTGCTGTCCTCTTTTTTGGGGGGGTGGGGGGGCATTGGTTTTTTGAGACAAGGTCTCGCTCCATAGTCCAGGTTGGCCTTGAACTCACCATGGAGCCCAGGCTGGCCTAGAACTCATGGTGATCCTCCTGCCTCAGCCTTCCAAGTGCTGGGATTACCGGTGTGCACCACCATACCCGGCTCTGCTGTCCTTTTCTATGTGGAGGGATTTTTCTGTCTTTCCATTGAAGGAGCTGGCTTCTGGTATCCCTCTCCATGAGGGTCCCCTATTAAATAAGAGAATAATGACCTACAGGTGATGGCAACTCAGACTCCATAAGTCAGGATGTACTTGCTTTCTGCCTGCCTTCCCTACTAGAATGTAAACTCCAAACATTCATTTGGTATCCTCAGTACCTAGAACAGTACCAGGTACGTAGTAGGCAAATATCTCTTAAACAAATAAATAGTAGACACACAAAAATACTTGTTGAATGAATAAATGAACATGTCAATTTTTATTTGGAACCAAAAGAAGAATTTTGGATCAGACTACCATGTATGATATTTGGAAGGGGAGACTACAACAGTTATTCTGAATCATTAGCCTGACCTTACATCTATGGCACCTAAAACTGGGCTAGGGGTATAGTTCAGTGGCAGAGTGCTTGCTGAGCATGTGCAAGATCCTTGGTTCAAAGCCCAACACCAAAAAAGTAAATAAACTTGAAACTGAGTCTCTTCTTTGCATGTGTATACACTACTTTAAATAAATATGACTCTACTTATAAAAAAAAATTTTTTTTTGGCCTTTTTTAGGCAAAGTCTCACTATGCAATTCAGGGTGGCCTTGAACTCACTTTGTACCCCAGGCTGGCCTCGAACTCACTGTAATCCTCCTGCCTCAGCCTCCCACGTGCTGGAATTATAGGTATGTGCACCATGCCCGGCTTATAAAAAATATTTTAAACCGTACGTGAGACAGCCATATAAATTTAGCATTCACATTTGCATTTTACTCTCTGGAGAATTAATGGAGGGTATTTGGGAAACAGAAATTACAAACCACTTGATGTTGGTGATAAGGCACGGAGAGGAAAAACCTCCACGCTAAATAAGCCTTCTTGTTTGTGGTGACCTAGAGCAGGAGACCAGCCCAAATGGGGAGGAGAGCCTAGCCAGCCAGCCAGCCACCCTAGAAAAGTCAGAATGTTGTATCATTTCCATTTCCAACAGATGCAAAACATAAGCCCTAAGCTTCTAGTTCCCAACTCTTTAGAGTTTTTTCTTCACTTACAAAATATTAGAAACACATCTTTAAAATTAACTCTCCTTTGGTCTAAGAATGTTCCGCATTTCTCCCTCAAAAATTACTTACATTTATAAGGGTAAAACAGTTCTGTGCCAAAACTTAATCTCCCAAAGGCTTTCGTATCAACATGCGCAGGAAAGGAACAGTAACAGGAAGATAGAAAGAAAAGGGCTCTCCTTGGGGAATTCAGTGAGAACATGAATAGCTTTGCAATAGCAAGCAGAAACACAGCAACGACACCCAGGATTTAGAGGCAGATTTATTTACCTTGACGGGCACTGATTGGAATCACTCCCAGAATATCAGGCCCTGATCTCTGGTGGTCTAGGGCTTATAGTGGATAAGCAAACAGGAAGTACAGAGGCAGAATGGCTTGTCAATTGGGGATGGGTTTATACAATGTGCAGTGCGCATTATAGTGACCAGCTGTGCATCACAGTGACCAGCTGTCTCTAAGAGACAGGAACAAACGGATCTGGAACAGGAACTATTACCTGAGCAACAAACAAACTGAAGTATACCGGTAGGGGTGAGGAGTGTTCCTGCTACAGTTTCACATACCCAAAGCCTTCAGGAGGACTTTCATATAGTAACCTAGTAGCTCTAAGCACAGAACTCAAAGCCCCATATTGACAATTATGAGGAGAAGCTATAGCTATGGGAACTTGGGCAAATTATTATCACTGTTCATTTCATCTTAAAAAAAAAAGCAGATATTCTTCATTCACTGGGGTTATCAGAGAGGTCAAAGAGATCACACACTTTAGTATAGTATAAAAAAATAAAAATATTTCGTGAAAGTAACTTTTATTATCACTATAGATTCTTCTTTCTCCAATGCATTTATGGTCACAAGAAAACTACAAGCTCTTTATCCAAAACAGTTTCTTTTTCCTACCTGTGAGGTGAGAAATGGGCTACTGGATCAGAGGCAGAAGCCAGTGAAGAGGTGGTCTTGGTGTTTTCTAGATCTTCATTCTCTAGAAAATCATGGAAAGAAAGAATTCAGTATATGAGAGGGAACATAGCCATAATTATCTTTTATCTTTAAAACAAAACTAGAAGTTTCAATCAACTTCATTTCAAAAAAAAAAAAAAATTGGGACATAAACTATATTCTCAGAGGCCTAGCACAAAAATTATTCAAGTCTTCACAGCTGTCTCTGACAGTCATAACTCACTCATAAAAAGCTAAGTATTTTATAAAACAAGTCCCCACAAAATTAATCCTACAAGAACTATTTTTCTCAGAAGACATATAGGTAAATTAGGCAGAACACAGAAGGCAGATTGGGATGTAAGATGAAATAAACTAAATTTGCTGTCAAAGTAGACACATCTCTACATTCAGGAAGCTCAGATCACTGTATCTATGGTCAGGTAAGGAGCTTTTGTTCTTTTCATTCATTCATTCATTCATTCATTCATTCACCAATGAGTCACTCAATAATGGGGGCCCTCACAGAGTATAAAGGTGAAATGCATCATGAAGGCTCCACTCCCCAGCTCCGCACAAGCCTACACACAGGCTAGTGTCACACTGCCATTTTGCAGGTAAGAAAATGAAAGCAGAGATATTATTCAAACTCAGGTGGCTCCGATCTTAATCATCAGGGCTCCTTAGTTTCATGGTTTATTGAACAGCCTCTTCTTGAACACTGAAAAACCATGCAGTTTAGTGCGTTCAGCAGCCCTTAGTTCTGCCCTCTCTGGTTAGGACAGAAGAAGCTGAAGCCCCAAGTCCACCTCGCAGTACAAGCTACACTTAACAAAGTGAGCGCCAAGCTCTGAGAAGGTCAAGTTTGGTAGCAATACACAAGTGAAAATGACAGGATTTGTGATCCAACCTTAATCTAGTCTCTATTTCTTATTCGTAAATAAGATCTATTTCTTTCTGTTGATTCAGCCTTATTGGCAGAAAGACTTTACTGCTCACACCACCCCATTTTTCTCCCAAAACAGAACTGAGTCTAAGATGCTCATCAGCTGTTTCCCAGTCTCTGCTATTCTGTAAAGAGGCCCATTTTACTGAGGGATACAGAGATCTCTCTCCTGTGTTGACCTATGTGGAACCTGCTTCCTAATAAATTCAATCTTTGATCACTCTTCCCTATAACACCCTTTAAAATATTCACAGTGTGCAGCTGTGCTTCCTGCAGGCTCCTCTTTCCTGAGCCACCATGTCCACATCAGATGGGCTTTGACCATGCTGACCTCTTTTAGTTGTTCTACTTAGTTTGTTCCAAAGTAAGAAGCAAAGACAAACAGGTTTTTTAGATGAGTTCCAATCCATGCGAAGTACATCAACAATAATCTCTTATTAATCACATTTCTTGGCATAACAGCCTATCCAGCCACAAGATTTTTTTAACTGCAAACTTACTCTGTTGACCTAAATAAGTCAATCAAGATCTCTAGGGCTTCTAAAAATAAACTTTTTTTTCCAAGACCACTCCTTATTATGCTCTGGTTTTGAAACTGACTTTTAGAAAATAACTGACTTTTTAACTGTAATGCAGGACTTTATATGCTCTTATTTATTTCAATTTTTTAAAAATTACATTTATAATGCTTTGTTCTATAGAGCAAACTAAATACAAATATGAAAACATTTTGCAATATAAAAATTCTGCATCTGTCCTCCCAGGCTTTATTTCATTTAAAATGTTTTTAAATCTACAAATAATTCATTACTCACTGTGGAAAAATCAAGAAATATATAGATAAGAAAAATAACCACAAAAACACAAACAACCAAAACATAAAATATCCAGTACAGGGAAAAAAAGAAAAAAGAAAGTTGGGAAAAAGAAAAAAGAAAACTCACAGACAATCATAACTCTTCTAAAATAGACACTATTAACAATTTGATATATGTACCCTTTCTAAAATGTTTCTTTACATTTATACATATAAATATATATGTATTTTATATGTATTTCTAAAAGGAAATGCACCAAATATTAATAAAACATTTTCATGAACATTTTCCAAAATTAATAAAAACAAAGCTGTATCATAACCTTAAATGGCTGCACCTTCCACCCTGTGGCTTTGGCATTTCTGATCACTGTCTAAGACTGACATTGTCTAATACTGATCACTATCTGAATACATTCATTAGAAACCAGAAAATGACTTTTCCAATTCCAGCACTTTACACAAAGGCTGATCAAAAATGCTATGTTTAAAAGACAGATTCCCATCAGGCCCCCCAAAAGACTCCCCCTCACTTAGAACACACTTACTCCATCATTCTCACCACTTGCTAGCAGCTCTACAAGTCCTTTGTGTTTTTACGACATGTGATAAAATACACAGTGAATGCTGAAGGCTGCTGCCAGGTGCCATCCATGGAAAGGCAGGTTGTAAAACTATTACTATGATTCTCACCCTCCTAATTCTCTGGATCTGGGGCCATGCAACTTCTGGCTCTTCCCCAAAGTCAAAATGAAAGGCAAAAATGTTTTAAATCAGTGAAGAGGGCTTTCAGAACTGCTTCAGAAAGTGGCAAGAACAAGGACTAAGTGTTTCCAACTGAGGGGAAGGATTTTTTTAAGGGGATTTATGGCAACATGTCTTTCACTGTAATAAATTTCTAAAAATTTAAACATTTGTTGCGGGCTGGGGATTTAGCTCAGCGGCACAGCACCTGCCTGGCAAGCGCGAGGTCGTGAGTTCAATTCCTGGTACTGGAAACCACCCCCCCAAAAAAATAAATAAATAAACATTTGTTGCATTTTTTAAACCACATTTTCTACATTTATTAGTTGGAATTTTAAAAAGAGCACCCCTTCAACAACTTGGCTACTGACATATTCACAAAAGGCAAGATAAAGGATTGATTCTAATCAATTGTCACAATACTGTTAGAACTGTAGGAGAATGCTGATTTGTTTTTTTGAAATACTGTTAAAAATGGATTTTACCATATTGTATGTGTCTCAAGCTTTCCTAGTTCTGGCCTGCAGAAGCTCCTTAGGGTTGGCTCCTGTGGCCCTGTAGCAAAACCCCCGCAAGTCTTCCTTATAGCAGAAGTCCCAGGCTCATCTTATAAATGCCCCATCCTAGACTTGGAACCGGCCATTTCTCCAAGGAGTTCTAGTTCTTATTTTATAAGACTCAGTATGTACAGAGGCTCTGCCCTGATGAAGGGAATAACACTACCATCACAGTAATGGGTTACTGTGGGATGTGCTCATTATCACGCAAGTGGGTTTCATTCAGTCTCCTTCACCCCTCTTTCTCATGCACTCTCTTGACCTTCAATCTTCTGCCATGCAATGACACAGCAAGAAGGCCCTCACCAGATGTGACCTTAGATTTCCCACTCTCCAGAACTTTAAGAACTAAATACTTTTCTCTGTAAATTATCCAGTCATATATATTTTTGTTTGTTTGTTTTTGTTTTGTTTTGGTTTTTGTTTGTTTTTTTGAGACAGGGTTTCACTAGGTAGTTCAGCCTGCTCTTGAACTCACTGTATAGCATAGGCTGGTCTTAAACTGTCAGCGATCCTCCTGCCTCAGCCTTCTGAGTGCTGGGATTACAAGCGTGCACCACTACACCCAGCTTATACAGTGTTATAGAAGCACAAAATGGATTATGACACACACATGAATATCTATTTTATGAGTACTGTTTATATACATATGAATATACATATTCATGAATATGTATATGAATATATACTATTTCATGTTGACAGAAGACTTGTTTTAAATGTGAGGCCACACACAGCCTCAAAATAAAAGGACAGAAAAGGATATCCCATGCAAATGGTAACCAAAAGAGAACACAGGTAGCTATACTTAAATAAAACAGATTTCGAGCTGGGCGTAGTGGAGCATGCCTGTAATCCCAGCACTCGGGAGGCAACAGGATCGTTGTGAGTTCGAGGCCAGCCTGGGCTACAAAGTGAGCTCCAGGCCAGCCTGAACTGCACAGCAAGACCCTGTCTCAAAAAGGCCAAACTAAATAAATAAAACAGATTTCAAATCAAAAATGGTCACAAAGAAGGGCATTATTTAATAATGAAGAGGTTAATCTATTAAGAGGACACAGCAATTACAAATGTACGTGCATCCGGGGTTGGGGATTTAGCTCAGTGGCACAGCACCTGCCTGGCAAGCGCAAGGTTGTAAGTTCAATTCCTGGTACCAGAAAAACAAACAAAAAAAACCCAAAACAACAACAACAAAAAAAATATATGTGCATCCACCATCAGGGCACCAAGATGTATAAAGCAAATATTAATAGGCACAAAAAAGAAATAGCAATACAGTGAAAATAGTAACCACTTATTGATCAACCAGACCTAAAATTAATAAGGAAATATTAAACTTGGATTATAATTTAGATCAAATGGAGCTAATAGACATACACAGAACTTTCCACCCAAAAGGAGAATATAAATTGTTCTCTAGCATACTCTCCAAGATAGAATATATATATATGTGTGTGTATATATGTGTGTGTGTGTATATATATATATATATATATATATACACATATACACACATATATATTTTTTGTTGTTGTTCTTTTTCAGACAGGGTCTCACTATGCAGTTCAGGCTGGCCTCAAACTCACAATGATCCTCCTGCTTCAGCCTCCTGAGTGTTGGGATTACCGGTGTGGGCCACCACACCCAGCTTAGACCACATACTGAGCCACAAAAAAAGTCTTCAAAAATGTAAGATAGAAATTGTATCAAGTATTGTCTCTGTCTACAAAAGTATAAAAACAGACATTAACAGAAGGAACTTTGGAAAATTCACAAATACATAGAAACTGAACAACATGCTCCAGAATAAGCCAATGACTCAGAGAAAAAATTACAAGGGAAATTTAAAATTATCCTGAGATAGGCTGGGACATAGCTCAGTGATAAAGCATTTGTTGGGGTACATGAGACCCTAGGTTCATTCACCAGCACAGGGGGAAAAACGTCTTGAGACAAACACCAATGGAAGTACAGTA